TAAAAAATGTATTTAGAGTAAATCAGATTTTAGAATATTCTAAAATCGCTTATTTATTAATGAAGAGAAAAAAAAAGTACGAAAATATCTATTTAATATTAACAGATATTCATTGCTGGGATAAATAATAACTAGATACAAAAAATCAAATGAACAGATCACTGTACATTCTCAAAAGAAATAATTTTCTTAATTATTAATTTTTTTTCTCTCGTTTTTCTTTCTTTGTATTATAATCATTGATCGCTGCTTTGATAGCATCTTCAGCAAGCACTAAATAAAAATAAATATAGAAATAAATCTTTTATTTTATTTTCTTTTCTTACTTGAACAATGAAGTTTTACTGGTGGTAAACATAATTCTTTTGCAATATCTTGATTTTTAATTGTATTTGCATCTTTAATTGATCTGCCTTTAATCCATTCAGTAGCTAATGAAGATGAAGCAATAGCTGAACCACAACCAAAAGTTTTAAATTTTGCATCGACTATTTTTCCATTGTCATCTACTTTGATCTATTAAAATAAATAAAATCTGAAAGAAAGAAATTACGGATTAATTTTACTTGTAGCTTCATGACATCACCACAAGCTGGTGCACCGACAAGACCGGTACCAATATCAGCATCGGATTTATCAAATGAACCAACATTACGTGGATTTTCATAATGATCAATAACTTTTTCATGATAATCACGTGTTAAAATACATCGTGTATTAACATTAGTAGTTAATAGCGGACGTATTTTTGAATAAATATTACGCGAGAGATTACTCGCAGCCATTTCGAAAAAAATAGAAAACTAGATAAAATCTGAAAATAGAATTTGGCTATAGAAGAGAAACTATTTAAATACATTTGTACTTCTTTTTGAAATTTTTTATAAGAAGAGAAACTATATGGCGAAGTGTTATTATGGTTTTACTTAACTAAAATAAACATAAATTATAATGATACGCTGAATATATCACAAAACTAGGCTAGAAATCTTGATTAATAAAAAGGTACATAGATAGGCAAATAAGACAAAAATATAACCCTAAAAGTGTTTATAAAATCATCGATCCTGGATTTTCAAGAAATTGTTTAAATTCTTGTAACCATTGAGCACCAATGGCACCATCAATAACACGATGATCGCATGCTAATGTTACATTAAGAATAGATGATTGACGAAAACTAACAAGAAGAAAATTATAAGAAATTTTGTTTGTTTTTTTTTTCATTAAAATTACCCTTTAGGAGAATCTGGTGCAGGTATAATCTTTTGTTCCATACCACCAATAGCTAAAATAGCTGACTAAAGAAAAATATAAGATTCAATTTTTACTTCACTGATTTTCAAAAACAACACTTACTTGTTGTGGATAAATAACAGCGCTGAAATTAGTTACACCATACATTCCTAAATTAGATATTGTAAATGTACCCATCTAAAATAAATATGATATAAAAAAATAATTCATTAGATTCTGTTTACTTCAAGTTCATTGTCATTCAATTTTCCACTATTTGCTTTTTCACTTAATTCAGATAATTCTTTATTTATGGCTGAAACACCCTGAATTAAATTTAACAAAAACAAAAATTGCATTTATATAAATATATACACAATATTACCTTTTGATCAACATTATATAAAAGTGGTGTCATGAGTACACCAGCATCTGTATTTATTGCTATATTAATATCAACTGTTTCGTATCTAAAATAAAATAGTATGCTAAGTATAGGAAAAAAAACTAGATAAAATTTTACTGTCGAATAGATTTTTCCATCCAAATACTATTTGTTTCTGGTCGTTTTTTACATGCAAGTGCAGCTGCTTTTATAATAAAATCGTTAATAGTAATACCACTTGATTTTTGTTTAGGATCTTTGGTCTTTGGTGCTAACATATCGTTCAATTTTCCACGTAATCTATAATAATAAAGTTAATCACATGGAGAAATAGAAAATCACATACTTGTCTATTTCATCTAAATTAACTTCAATAGTTAAATAATAATGTGGTATTGTAGTCTTTGATTCAGTTGCACGACGAGCATTATCCTATAAAAAATAGTTTTAAAATATTGAATTATATTTTTTGTTTGAATAGATTATCTTACAGCTCGAATTTCTGATACTTGTTGTTCATCATAACCACCTGTACGTGCTGCTGTTTCTTTTTTAGCTCCTTTAGCTGGAGCACCTTGTTCACCTTTGGCTTTTTTACCATCTACTTTAGCACCACCTTCTTTAACAAATTTTTCAACATCTTCAGCAGTAATTCGACCATTTGGACCTGTACCTTGAACTGACTAGATAATATAGAAAATATTATATGATTATATGTCAATATAAAATCGAATATGTATATATACTTCTATTTCTATGCCTTTTTCTTCAGCAAGTTTTCGAGCAAGAGGTGATGCAGCAACTCGATCACCTTGAGTTGAACTACTAGTTTTTGTTGTCTCTTTTTTAGGTTTTGATGTTGTTTGTTGTTCTTTTTTACTAGTTGACTCTTCTTTTTTATTAGTTGAATCTTCTTTTTTTGCTGGTTCTTTCTCTTTTTTTTCTTGTTTTTCATCGGAAGATTTCGGTTTTGTTGATGCTGTACTGCCATCATCTTTATAATCTTTAAATGCAGCAATATCTTCTTCTTTTTCAACAATAATCGCACATGGCTAAAAAATAAAATTCTTCAACATAATTTCACTAAACGTTTTTTCTTCTTACTTTTCCAACAGGTACATCTTTACTACCACCAGGTATAAGAATTTTTGCAAGATATCCTTCATCACCTGATTCAAATCCTAATGTTGCTTTATCAGTTTCAATTTCTGCTAATATGTCACCTAAAATGAATACACATAGATTATTTATTAAAAATTATTTTGAATATTAGTTTTTAACCTTCAGCTATTTTATCTCCTTCTTTTTTTGCCCATGATCGTAATGTACCAGTTTCCATAGTCGGTGATAATGCTGGTAATGGAATTGTTTTATGAGATGGTAAATCACCGGATGACGCATAACGAATCGATTGATGTTGTTGACTTATGGTTATACCATTTCTTGTTAGTGATAATAATCGACCATTTACACATGATGAAAAATTTGACTCGACTAGAGATGAACTAAAATGACGAAGTAAAAGCAAAAAAATATTTTTTTGGAAAAAATTTACTTGTTGAGATTTCTATTTGTTATGTTAAGATTTGTTGAACTCGATATTGTATAACATCGTCGTAATAAAGTATTTATTTTTCTTGCTGAAGTATAACGTTGTGCAGTAATAAGGTGACGAATATTTTGCATCTTTTATTTGCAATCGTCGTTATATTCCACACAAATATACAAGAGAAAGATAATCTAAAATAAATTCAATTTATAGTATCACGTAAAACAGCGCTTTTCTATGTTAGCGGCTAGTTAATCAAAAAGAAGAAATAATTTCTTGATCATTAGATCCATTTCTTAACACTTGTTTTTACGTATCAGATATAATATATTTTTTTATTAAGGTTTGTCTCATTGGAGTAATAATTTTAGTTTTGATTGGTTTATTTTTAATGAACGAAAAGAAATTTTATTAGTATTAAACAATAATAAACTTCGAATTCTTTAGATACAACAAACATTATCTTCATACTGAGAATATAGCGGATACATGCCGATGAATCTACTCCATAATCGTATTGAACTATATATTATTAATATAGATGTCGCTAATATGAATACAACTATTATAGTGAAACCTTTTTTTCTATAAAAATATAATTTGTTATCGAGTAAAAGTCATAAAAAATATTTTCCTAAATTAAACACTTCAAGAAACTTGTGGCTCCTCTCGTAAATACGTATCTAAGTGAGTTATTGGACAAAAAAGACACTACTGATCAGTTTTGTCATACAACTATAGTGAATATAAATAGAAAACAACCATTTATTTTTTAAACTTAACTCATCGCACAAGATTATGTAAGTAGACCATGACTAACATATAACTCAGTAGAAACCTATGATTCACTAGAGGTTTTTTGTTCTTGTATTTCCTTTTTCTATTGTTTATAAAGGCAAAATGATTCGCTTACTCATTTCTAGAAGAAAACTTTAATGTACAATTCAACTGATGACGAATTATTGAAAGTGAGAATATGACAAATATAAAAGGCATAGCGTGACTCGATGCATAAATGAATTTTTTAGTCTCAAATTTTTGCTTGCTTTGTTTGCTTGCTTTTCTTTTTATTTTCTCCTCTCGTTTGAATAATATTTTACAAACCTTAGATAATTATTATTTAATGACCTACGAATAATATTTATTCTTAAATGTAATTCATTATTATTATTATTATTCTAGATCGACGATTGTATTGATACTTGGTCTACAAGAAGTAATAAAACGAAAAATAATATTTTTCCTATTTAAATCTAAATCTTTTATGTATTTTAGTGACAAGCGCTAGTGATTTTCAACGTTTACATAATGTTATTTCAACTAATCTAACGAAGATTAGTAACAATGGTTAGTTATAATGATTGATTAATTTTGTTTTTAACTATCTTTTTTTATAGCAACGGATCTTGAAAAACTCGTTCAAAAATTAGGTACTCCAGAAGATAGTGAGCCATTACGTGAACGCTAGTATATAGAACAAAAACCAACGAAAACTGATTATTGAATGATTTTCTTTTTTCGTTTCAGTCATCGACTTCAAAATGAAACTAAAATATTAATGCAACAAACAAATGATGCACTTCAAGAACTTAATAATACTCGTGTATTAACAGAAGCTGATCAGGTTTAACACAAATTTATTTAAATAAATTAAATTTTAAAATAAATGTTTTTTTAGAGACGCAAAAAAACTTTAACTGAAAATTTACCAAAACAATATTTAGCAACATTAAATCGTTTTCAAGAAGCACAACGTACTGGTGCACGAAAAGAAAAAGAAAGTCTTGATCGTGCACGTGCTATATCATTTCGACAACAAGGCATGTCTGATTCACCGTTTGCCGATAATTTTGTTCCAACACCAACATATGATCAAATTCAACAGCAAGCGGTTTTACCAATTGAACAAGAAGTTGATATGAGATCATTAAGAGAACGTGATGAACAATTACGTGAACTTGAAGTATATAAAAATACTACTATTTTTGAATTTATAAAATATTAAGATCTCGTTTTTTTTTTGTTATTTAGACAAATATTGTTGAAGTTAATGAATTATTCAAGGATGTTGCTAAACTTGTTCATGAACAAGGTGGTGTTATTGGTAAGTCTAGAAAAATGAAATAAAAGAACGATAGATATAATGCAACTAGAACATATTTATTAAGACTCAATTCAAGATCATGTTGTAGTAGCTGTTGATCTAACACATCAGGCTAGTCAACAAACTGGACAGGCTGCAACATATCAGGTTTTTTATTATTCTATATTGCTGCTGTTAATTGCTAAAAATTGTTGATAAGATACAGGAGAATTTTACTAATTAGGATTGAATTTTTTTTAATAATGGTGAATGTATATACTAACTAAAACTTCGCTGCATCTTTCTAGACTCTATTGATCAACATATAATCAATACTGAAGTGAATGTAACACATGGCAATCAACATTTATCAAAAGCTATGACTTATCAGGTTGCTTTTCTTTTTTAATTTCTAACAGAAAATTTCATTCCTATTTTGCATATTTATTTTTATTTTTTATATTTAAAGAGTGCTGCTCGACGAAAAAAGGTCATATTAGTTACAGTTTTACTTGTTGTCCTTGCTATTATTATACTTGTTTTGGTTTTAACATTGAAAAAGTGATACATTCAGATGGGTTAGTATCATATATATATTTTTTTCTAAACGGAATAATCACCGGGATTAGTTCTGATTGATGAAATATGGACAATTATTCAAACACATGAATCTCAGTTTTTTCACTACCTACGAACATACTTAATCATATTTTCATATTTCAAAATAACAGTGAAAATTTACTGAATATATCGAACACGATCTACTGCTTCCTACTCATAAATAGTGAATTATATGATAGTCTTTTCAAAAATTAGTTTGTTTTTATCTGCCTTATCATAATTGATCGCACTAATGCGTTTCATTTTAAAAATTATATACATGATTGATATGAAAATATATACGCATTTAATCGTAAAGTTTATCTTATATCTACTACTCGATAATCGATACAATCTCAATTAGTAACTTTTATGCGTCTTATTTGTATTCATGAGTGAGTTGCAAGGCTTGTATTAGACATGATGTATTGTTTTGTTAAATTTCGAATTAATACCTTTCTTTTCTATTTCATCCTATAGTTTACTCATTAGATAGAATTGATACATGAATACAACCAGTATCATGTATCATCTTTTCATAAGCAGAAGTTCCTGGAAAAGAATTCTTTAAAACATTCATAATTTGCTTTATTTCTTTTTTTTAGAGACAACGCACTCGAATTACCTCCAAATGTTTCATATGTATTATCATAATAACTATTTTATTCTTCTTTATTATTATCATTTAAAATAAATAAAAAACAATAACACGTGATCTTCTTTTTTTCCACACTCACATATATACATATATACATACGCATTTATTTATCTCATTTTATTGATGCAGTGTAATGGTCTCAAATAAAATAAAAGTTAAATTGAAAAAAAAAGAAAGATCAGTTTTTGTTTTGCTTGACGTCATACATTTTATGTTGTATTTTATTGCTGTATTCATCGCCTTTTTCTTTTAATTTTTTTTCTTCTTCTTTTTCTTTTTTTGTAATATTCGTTGGGTATCTTCGTCACGTTTTTTTTCCGAATATAAATCGACAAATAATTGCATATTTATGTGTATATGTTATCATTGTCACGCGTGAATAAGAGAAAAGGAAAAAACAAATTATTAATAACATGAAAACTTAAAAATATATATATATAAATATTATTCATTTCCACTGTATATTATTTTTATTTTGTCTTGAACAAAAAACAAAGCGCGATCATGTTGTTACGTTTATGGCAGAAGTTACAGTTATTCGAAGATACACTTGCGGATAATAATACATATAGAATGTATTCGAATATACTTACAGAAGGTACGTATCTAAGATAATTTCTAATCCAAAACATGAAAAGAACTATACTAGCGCGAAAGAGATAGAAAAATTGAAATATCTTGTAAAATTTGACTATTCTTAGGGCATACTTTTACAATGATTCCACCAGATGATAATTTCAATACTGATCAAGCTATACTTGATATTGATCAAATAAGAATATTACCGATGTCACATAAATATAATCCATCACGTATACATGCTGGTTTACTTATATATTCTGTTGATGGTCAAACTGATTTTATTTTAAATGATATACAATTACGTATTAAAACAGGTGATATACTTATACATCAAATTCCTAATGCACTTGCGGGACAAGAAGATGTTTATCGTGATTTAATACGAACATTATTTGGTACACATCGTATAAATCTTGTTGGTCTTGTATTTACATTTACTGGTTATGGAAAATTTACTGATTGTATGAAATGGACACCATCATCAGGTGATCATACAGGACCTCTACATCCAACTGAACAAAAATTACTTGAAATTGTACTTGTTTCACATTATATGAATAATGCATGGTTAGTCATGCAAGTCGCATCACATATGGATGTTGAAACATTATCTCAAACAGCTAAAAAACAATATCTTCTTAAATTAGGTGAAATTGAACAATTATATAATAAACGACGACAAGAACGTGAACGTTCACCAATATCAAAATTATTAAAATTTAATCATCGTCATTCATCAGATAATATGCGATCATTTGAATGGACAACATATAGACAAGAAACATTTGATGGAGCAATACAACGTTTACTTGATGAATTTTATAATCTTATTCTACAAGTATTTCAAGATAATGAATTTGATCGTGATCATTATGCTTATTTTGATGATAATACAAAACAATTATTTGGAGCTTTAGCTACACCTTATGCACGATTACCCATACAACAAACAAGACCAGATTATACTTATGCTCCACAACCACCATATTTCTAATAAATTAATAGTTTGATAAATATATAAATACACATGTGTAATCATAATATCCAAGGTGAAATTAATGAAAAAGAAAAATATTTATTTTTTTATTCCTAAAACATAAAATGTCCTTCATTTAATATCGTTTGCTATCTGTATAAATAATCAAAATCTACAAAAGTATTTTCTAAAGTATTATACAGATACTGCGTTTGTATATGATTTATTGAAATAAATTTTTCAGTTACTTCGATCGGTATGTTATGATTTCATGTTGTTGTTATCTTTCGTAATATAAGGATTATTGTGATTGTATGAATGAATTGACATCTTATCAATAAATACCTTATCTAACAGGAATTCGATTTCGATCAGTATTTATAAGTTAATTTTGTCGTTGAAATTTATCTACGCGAAATAATGAAATCAAAAGATAAGTAATGATATAGAATAGAAATGTAAAGTTAATCAATCGATTCTGAAAATATTCATTGATAGAAAAGGTTTTCAAGTAAAAACCATATAGTATTAAAACATGATATTGGCTTCTTATATTTTTCGTACTTTAATAATGTCTCGTAATCATTTGAATTATGATATTTTTGTTTAAGTGTCTTAAAAATTAGTACTCTAACCAATAAATCTAGATATTGTTTTTCTCAATCCAAATCAATTGAATTTACGACACATCAGAAAACACTTTGAATTATGTTTGTTTATCTACCTTCATCTATGCCCTTTTACATTCAAGGTAATGACGTCAACAAATTTTTTTTTAATATTCAATTATGAATGCAACGCCCAGAAAAATTATTTATTGTAAGAAAGCCGAAACACTCGATTATTAAAACTACATAAATATCATTCTTATTTATATGATTTTATCTTCAAACAGAATCTTGTAAAATGCATTTTTTTTTCTATTTGAAATATTTGACGTAAATAATATCTAGTTATCACTTTGTGCGCAGTATTGATAGTGCACGGTTGTCAACTGATATGAGATGAAATTTATGTATATACGGATGTATAATTCATCTAGTAAGAAAAAATTTTGGTTGGATACACTGTTATTACTTGACATGTGTTTGAATCACATGAAATGTGATGTACAAGCAGTTTTCGTCACCTGTATATTTATTCGTTTGTTTAACCAACCATATCATTATCGTTAATACGCAACGACAAAAAGAAATAAACATTAAAGAAAAAAAAAACGAACAGGTAACATCAAGCTATTTAGTACATTTCAAATTTTATTTGACCCTATTAAGTTCTAAACTGTTAAATACATAGTATCTCTTAGATTGTTTTGAAATTAATATTAGATTAGTTTTTTTTTAATTGTTTAAAAAATATTTTAAGAATAAATAATTATTTCGTTACAATCATCAGGCTTCTATCTGAATCTCATAAAATTTTATATAAAAGCACCTTTATTCATCTATATATTTGTTCGATTGTTTAACCAACCATATCATTATCGGTAATACTCGACGACAAAAAGAAACAAACAGTGAAGAAAAAAAAACGACCAGGTAATATCAAGCTGTTTAATATATTAGTACAAATTTTAGTTGACGTTATTATTGTCGAGATTGATCATTGGTTTGAATTCAGAGTGTCTGGCCTTAATTCGATCATCGCTTTCGTTAATCTACAAAAAACAGCTGATAATTTTACTAAACGATATCCGTTTGAAGTTAAGTCATTTTTGAGGAACAAGCATGCTTAAAAAAATTCGTAGTAGAAGTTTTCATTCATTTTGTAACTTGTCTAAATTTATTAATGCATGTATTTTGATAGGAGTGCTTAGAAACAAATTTCTTTCATTACAATAAAAAAAAAACTTATACTAATTTCACATAATTATATAGCGCGTTGATCATTCTATCCAGGAGACTAAAATTGAATTCAAACGGATATTATTTAGCAAAGTTATGACCCTTGTTTCTGAAGACTACTATGAGTGATGATTGAATTAAAGCTACACACTTTAATGCTATGTATTAGAGCATTTATTTTTATTAATTATCGCTATCAAAGTATGAAATATGAGTTTTCATTGTAGTTTGTAGTTTTATATATTACATACAAGTTTTGCGTAGTTATCAATTTTTAGTAAATTTTGATTATAATGCAAAAGATCTGTAAGAATGATACAATTGTGTAACAAATTTCAATCAACTTCGTTGATTATGTGACGCCAATATAAAAAGACCCAGGGTCTTCTAAAACAGGGGGGTCTTCTATCATAGGGGGGGAGATACATCGATTTTTTTCTGCACTCAAGGACTGATTTAACGATGCGTACGTTTGTTTTTTTTTTCTTTTTTCTTCCTGCTCTATTGGTGATTATCGGTTAAATACCGTGATCATAAGACCTTATTATTTAAGTTAACGTTGATTATTCACCTCGAATATTATTAATGTTAATGACAAGCACTCACCTATGTAAGTGCACCAGTGAATAATTATATACAAATTTGGAGAGAAGAGATCGATTTTGTAAGATTTGTTTTCAAATAATGTAAGTTGATAAATGAATAGATATAATAAAATTATTCATATAGATGAATATAATCCAACTATCGTCAAATGACTGTAATTAGGTACATTTTTTGTCTTTCTGTTTTATATAGCTAATCGAGTGAGAAAAATAACGTCATTCTAATAATATTTTTTTATTAAATTTTTGTTTTTCAATCATTATGAGATATTGATATACGTATATAATTACTTATTTATTTCTTTTATTCGTTAATTTCATACATAAACTTGTCGATATCCATCTCGTGTTGGAGTTGTCTTGATTGAAGCAACTTAAATTTTGGTAAGAATTATTGATAAAGATTTTTTTCATAGATTTAGTAATTAATAAACATCTTTATCATCATCGAATATAAATAGAAATAAATTCTTCTTGTAGTTATAGTCAGATTTTTGTTAGTTTCTAGAAAAATAAGAAAACAAAAATTACAGTTAACATCAAGCTCGCATTTTTATAAATATTTTATCTCTCTGTAAGTTTCAATCCATCGAAATCTCGTGAAAAGATGGATGCTAATTAAAATTAGTATTTTGTATAATAGATAAAACATATAGATTGTGTTAGAATCGGTGAATATCTTTTTAAACGACACATCGAATTAAATCATTTTCATGAGAGTATTCATGCGTAACAAATATTATTATATATTGTATATAATAATTTTTAGTTTCGACTGAATAAGGTTTGGCGTGGTTTTAAGTTGCACATAATCCCATTTTTCCATATTGTGTTGCATGAATTCATTTGTTGATAAGAGATGTATAATTTGAACACATAAATTTTATTATAATCATATTTCATAATATTAATGAGTGAACTTAATACGAATGCATTCTAGATAAGAAAGTAAGATGGACAATAGGGGTTTACAAAGTGATGGACCCCCG